ATAAAAAAATAAACTCCAAATGGACCAAAGATTTAAATGTAAGGCCTGATTTGTAAAACTACTAAAAGAAAATATAGCAGGAAAGCTCCATGACATTGGTCAGAGCAATGATTTTTCAGTTAGAACACCAAAACATAATCAAGAAAAGCAAAAATAAACAAATGGGGCTACATCATGTTAACAAGCTTATGTATAGCTGAGGAAGCCATCAACATAGTAAAGAGGCAACTTTCAGAATGGGAGAAAATATTGGCAAACCATACATCTGATAAGGGGTTAATATCCAAAAATATATAAGGAACTCAAAATACTCAATAGTAAAATAAAAACAAATAGACCAATTTAAAGCCAATTTAAAAATGGGGAAAGGATCTGAATGGCCATCTCTCAAAGGAACGCATACAAATTGTCAACAGTATCAAAATGCTCAGTATCACTAATCAAGAAAATGCAAATTAAAATCACAATGAGATATCACCTCAGACCTGTTGGAATGGGTGTTAGCAAACACTAAACATAAGAAACGTTGGTGAGGATATGGAGAAAAGGGAATCCTGGCATATTTTTAGTGACATTGTAAATTAGTTCAACCATTATGGAAAACAATATGGAGTTTCCTCAAAAAATTAAAAATAGAACTACCACGTGACCCAGCAATCCCCCTACTGGACATATATCCAAAGGATATGAAATCAATACAGATGTTTCTAGGCTTATGATGGGGCTACATCTCAATAATCCCATTCTAAATAAAAAATAATGTAAGCAAAAAATGCATTTAACACCTTGATAAACCTATCATAAATCATAAATCAAGGACTGTCTGCACACTGCGGAGATGTCTGCACTCCTATGTTCATTGCAGCATTATTCACAACAGCCAAGATTTAGAATCAACCTAAGTATCCATCAATGGATGAATGGATAAAGAAATGTGATACATAGACACGCAATGGAATACTATTCAGCCTTAAAAAACATGGAAATCCTGTCATTTGCAGCAACATGGTGAACCTGGAGGACATTGTGTTAAGTGAAATAAGCCAAACACACAGAGACAAATATCTAACACTTCATTTATACACAGAGTGTAGAAAATTTGAACTCATAGGAGTGAGAGTATGTGTTGGTAAAGGGGAATGGTTGGTGGAGAAGGGGTTTGGGGAGATGTTGCTCAAATGATACAAATTTTAGTTAGGTAGGAAGAGTCAGCTCAAGACATCTATGGCACAACGTGGTGACTATAGTTAATAATGCATTGGATTCTGGAAAATTACTAAGAGAATAGACTTTAATAGTTCTTCTCTCAAAAATGATAAACATGTGAGGTAATTTATATATTAATTACCTCAAGTTAGCCTTTTCACAATGTATACATATTTCAGAACATTGCACATGATAAATATATACAATTTTTTTGTTGTGAATTTAAAGAAATACATGGTAAAAAAGAAACAAACAAAAAATATAGAGCATCTGAAAAAAAAAGAAAATTTATAGGTAAGTAATAATTATTTTGTTCATCCCAGAGCAATGGGCTGGATGTCTCCTTTCTTGCATCTCCATTAGTCACTACTGGTCCACAGGACTCTGAAGACAATAGAGACCACAGCTGAGATACAACACAGCCTTCTGTCCTATTTCCATTCTGTTATACCTCACCCTGCCTCTCTTTCCTTCTCAAGTTTCTACCTAATAGCCCTGTCTGCATCTCTTGCTGCCTCCACCCTTGAAGGTGTCTGTGCTTCACTGAGCCCATGGCCAGCCTCTCTCTAACTTCTCCTTTTGCTTTTTGTTTCTGTTTCTCTTTCCTGGTGAGTTCTGCAACTCTTTCCCCCTTGTCTTCCAGTTTTCTTTTATAACTTTCTTCCTCCAGGTTTGTTCATCAGGATATCAGGTTCCATTCCTGCACTCTCTGCATCTGTGTGATTTTCCCCATTGTTAAATAACTGTCTTCCTGCGCCCTGCATTAGTCCACTCCCTGCCCTCAGCCAGGCCCCTCCCCCAGCCCCTCCACACTCATGCAAACCCAGTGAGTCAGTCTTATCTGCTGGCTCAGTGTCTTGGGCACATTGTTGATTTGCTCATTGGTGTCCTAGTGCATCATTTTTGTCTCTGATCATGTCATGTCTCCTTGTGTTTGCCTATTCTGTTTCACAGAGGTGCTCCAAGAGTCCACTCTCAGGTGGGGTTGTACCTAAACCATGTTTTTATTCATAGATATTTTATTTTTCCCCTGCTGCTCATCTCTCCTTGTCCCCTCCACCACCACAGCATGGGCCACTGCTGGATGGAGGTCACAGCACTAAGGCAGTAGCCACAATCAAGCAGACACAGGCAGAGAAATTAGAAGTTTATGTATATAAACTTCTAATTTCTTTCTCCCAGGAACTGGTGAAAACTCCTTTCCAAGCCTGTCTGGACCACACTCAGGTTCCTCCTTTTCCACTGGTCTGTTTCTGTTGACTGTTATGTTCTTTATTACCTCATCCCATTCTGGAATGTGCTGTGGGGCTGCCTCTTGTGTAACTGATTGCCCAGAATTTTCAGTCTTTGCATCTGAAGTGTTTCAAGTTCAGGATTTAAATAACAGGTCTTTATCCTCCGTGTTGCCTGGGAGGGTTTCCTCTTCCCATACTGCTGCCAGTTCCTGCTGGTTTGGGGCCTGGATGTTTTACTCATGTGCCTGCTTCACAGTTTTCTGCCTGTGTCTGCTTGACTGTGGCTACAGCCTAATGAGTGACATGTGCACTGTCTGGGGGAGGGTCATGCTGGAGGCTCAGACTTGTGGGGGGCGGGGGGAAAGGGCATTTATTGAAACCTTAAAATCTGTACCCCCATCATATGCCAAAATAAAAAAAACAAAAATATAGCATTGGCATTAAAAAAAAAGAAAGAAAGAAATTAGAAGTTTATTTCAGAAATTGAAGTATGGATTTTGCCCTTTTCCCCTAGTCCCGTTTTAGTCTTTATAGTGTAGGAGTTAAATAGCCGTCTAAGTCTCAATGCAGAGCCCATCTGGAACTGGCAGATCCACCTGGTCAGCCGCATCCCCGGCTGAGAGGCCTCAGGCAGGCCACCTCACACTCTGGTAAGTGGCCATGGCTTGTCTTGACATCCCCAGCCAAAGTGAACTTGCCTTTGTCTCAGAGATGCCCCTGCCTCAGTTCCTGCCAAGTCATGGTCACCTCGGCCTCACCACCTTTCATCCCCTTCTGTTCACTCTTTACTGTGGACCTTTCCATGGGGTTTCAGCATCTGATGTGCCTCCACTTCCTGCAGCTCTTGCTATTATTCTTTTCTCTGTATTTTTATCTCTGCATATATGTCCTAATTTGTATTCCATGTTTCTGCCTTTTCTGTTAGATTATCTGGGTAAGCAGCACAGGGTTAAGCACAGGCTCTGGGTTCAGAACACCTGGGTTCATACTTGCTCATCTGACCATAGGCAAAATCCACATGTGCTCTCCCTAGATTTCAGTTTCCCTGTCTGCAAGATGGACACGTAAATAACACTATCTCCAGTGGCAGCACTAAACCAGCACCTGCCACAGAGCAGATGTTCATTTAGAGTGAGCTGTTACTATTACTAACACAGCTCTTCTCTTCCATCTTTCCTTTCCCCTCCTCCCCCCTTTCCTGTCTCAGAGTACTCATGTCCTCTGCTCCACATGTGAACCACTTCTTCTGAGACTCTCTAGGAGACTTCCTTTCTCTGTGAATATACCTGCTCTTGAACAACATCCCCCTCTTTTAAATTAGTCCTTTCTTTTGCCATCACCGAGTGTGATATCGTGATGTCATAAAAGATATGTATTTTGGTTTTTCTCTGCTCCTGGCCAGAGATCCTAAAACCCTAATAATACCCTAAGTGTTAAGGTGAAAACAGCGTCTTTTGTCATAGATAAACCAAGCCCCTTTCAACTACACTCAGATTATTTTAATGAGGTGCCTTTTGGAAAATCCCTATGGATGGAGGGCTGGTGAAGGAGGTGGAGGAAGTGAACACATGATTAGAGGATGGGAATTTCAGCCCTTCCCCCTGGCCTTTAGAGAGAGGAGTATGGAATGGAGCTTGACTTAATCTCCTACAGCCCATTATTTTATCAATCATAACCATATAACATAATTTCTGTAACAACCCTAGATGACTGGGTTCAGAGTGCTTATGGGCTGGCAAACATATGGAAGTGCTGGGGGGGGGTGAGCCCAGAGAGGGTACGGAAGCTGTGTGACCCTTCCCCATACGTTGCCCTATGCATCTCTTTAATTTGGCTGTTCTTGAGTTTTATTTTTTACAATACATTGGCAAACATGGCAAACGTGTAAATGTTTCCCTGAGTCCTGTGAGCTGTGCTAGCCAAGTGTCAAACCCAAAGTGAAGGCCATGGGAACCTTCGATTTATAGCCAGTTGGTAAGGAGCACAGGTCAGAACCTGAGACCTGTGACTGGCGTCTGAAGTGAGGGACAGTCCTGTGAGACTGAGCCCTTAACATGCACAGTCTGTGCTAACTCTGGTAGAACTGAATTAAATCAGAGGACACTTGGAGAACTGGTTGGTGTGGGGAAGACCCCCCACGTACACTGCCAGAAGTGCTGTGAGTGTGAGGGCTCAGATGACTAAGACGGTGTTTGTCTTTCACCCAGAGCCTTCTCTTTAGTATTGACCATGGGCCACAGTTCTTAGCCCTTCACAGCTTCACAGGGATCTTCTCCTGCAGGGACCTTGCTACATCACCATCACTTCCAGGCAGTTAGTGTCTTTCCATCTGGCTACTGACACACTCGCTCCCGTCCCTTCATCCTGGTTTTTGGGCCAGCAGTGTCTTGTGATGGCTGCTCCTCCAGGACCCCACGCCTGGGTGGGAGCTCAGACAGACTCCCTGCCCTGCCGTCCCCACGGTCTTTCCTCATTCTTCCCCGAGTCACAGTCTCCACTCAGCACCTGGGGCCCCTTTTCCTCTTAGCAGCTGAGAACGTTCTGCCCTGTCGTTATTACCTTGTTCAAGGGTTAGTTGGCTGCTGGGCCCCTCCTCTCTCCCTTCTTCGGGACTTTCTTGTAAACACCATTTGTCTGGGAGCACTGAAGAGCCAGAGACAGAGTCAATGGGAGAGAGAAGGGAGTTAGTTATCTCCACTAGGGACCAGCGACAACATCTGTAAATTGTACATTTTGGAATTTCCACCCTTGAGTCACTAAGAGCTCAGTGGGTCCCACATGACTCAATGTTCTCCCACCATCCCCTGGACAGAAATGAGAAGATCCTGTCAAGGAAGACTTTGTCTCCCACACTGAAAAGAGATACTCAAGATTTAAGGGTAAAGGAGAAGTAAAAACATTGTGAGCCATGTTACTTGCCCAGAAAAATTTTCAGATGGCAGGGAAAGCACATTTCACAATAACTAATAAAAGTGAAGTGTGTTTTCTGACCTGTTCAAATGAAGGAAGAAACAGGGATTTCTTGGGGAGAAGGTCTAGGGCCTGGAAAGAGCTGATTATAAAATAGAAATCCCCAACAGCTTTAGTAATGGGGCTAGAAAAGAGGAAGTTTTTGGTTTAACTTTGTCAAGGGGGAGGAGTGATTCCCAAAGAAACTTGACAGAGGACACAGGGGCAGCTCGCATGGACTTCCGGGTCCAGGAGGAAGCAGTGTCTCCCTGAGGGGGGGGGGCAACTGCACTGAGTGAGGTGGTGGGCAGTGCCCTGGCCAGCGGTTACCCTCAGTGTGCATCACCCAAGCTCTGGGAGCTGCTCTGGGAACAGGGAGGAGGAACTGTAGTCCATGGAGAGTATGGGAGCCCCTGAGATGTGAACAGTAAAGGTGCCACCATTCCACGGGCTCCCACAGCCTGGGGACATCAAATATAATATTGACTTGAAATTTGTGCCCATGTATTTGCCTGCCTTTAATTTCCTCTTCTGATTTGAATGATGTGCTATAAAAATTATTTTATTCCTAAGCAGATAAAGTTACTATTGACACAAACCAACAAGCCATATATACATCCTGAAAATTTTTTTCCTTGCTTATAAACCTGGAATGTCTCTTTATTGCCTCTTAAATAAACTTCAAATTCCTTAGCATTCATTGCCAGATCCTTCAAAATGTTTCTCCAACTTATTTCTGTTGAATCAGCTTCTACACTCTTTGCACTTTTGGATTTGGCCAAATCTGATTTGTTCTGTTTTGCAGATATGCTCCCACACTCGTATTCCTGTTCCCTCAGCATCCACCCTGCTCAGGGCATGTGCCCACCTTTCCTGTGATGTCCCTAGCCTTATTTGGAGAATTGGGTTGAGACCAAACTATGTTGAAATAAAAAGTTTTCTAGGTAAGTTAAAAAAAAATGGAGGGCATCCTCTTTACTCTGTCCCAATAAAATAGTAAAATATGCCTTCTCAGGAGAAAGTCTAGAATGAAACTGTTAGTTTTACATGCCACCAAAAATAGTCACTGGCAGACCAATCAGTTTTGTGATTATTTGGTTAGTGTTTGCTTCACCCCTTGTGGATAAAGGGTAAATTCACCTTTATTAAAGGCACATTTTACCCAGGGTTTACTTCCTTCTTCATTAATCTAGAAGTTGTGGCTTTTTTGCTCTGTTACTAGGGAAACACTGGGCTTAGAAAAGACCCATAACTGTCACATTGGGATAGACTAAATATCAACTACAAATAACTGGTGGAAGCCATATTTTGGCCTTTCTTCAATGTGGCAACTCTTATAACTCAGCTTATCCATTGTGTGGTCCCTAAAAGTTATGACTGTGGAGCTGTTAAAAGAGACATTGCTTCTCACAGGCATGTGGTGGTAGACCAAGGTGAATCCTTCAACCACAGGTAAGCTGTCACTCAAGGTAAGTCACAGTCAACTTGGTGGACTACTGTGTAGATCACTGCAAAGGCTCCCACTGAAGACAAGCAACTGATGCTGCCCTGTTGGGATTCTGTGTTGTTTATTCTATGTTCTTCTTAGTAAAGCTGGTATCAGTGTAGCTCTGGTTGTCTTGTGAGTCTAAATGTCCAGTTAAGCAGACCTCCAGATGGTTGTGATACCATAGCTATTACATCCATAGCTTCAAGAAGGATCATGACATGCCTGTTTTGTTAACTACTATATCCTTACTGCTCAGCACAGTGTGTGATGGAAGAACAATATATGCTTATTGAAAAAAATTGGCCCTGGACCTCAAAAGGTAGGTAGTAAATCTAATTACCACTTTTGAAGCTTTCACGAATAGGAATTAAAGCAGGGTACTCCTTCATGTTGATGTTACTGAACATTATCTTCAGAACTTCTAGGTTAAAGTTCTTCTCCAGCTCACTGAGAACACTGTACACCACTTGTTTTACAGGGACCAGGTTTCTACAAGATTCTTCAAAATCCTTAAAAAATATTGAATGGAAAAAATACAAAGACAGACTTCAAAGAGCTGTGGAAATTAATTTTATGATTGATGTATTCCAGTTTCCCTATGTAGGTATCTTCTCATGTAATGCTTTGTAATTTTTATATATTCACATAGCTACTAAATGAAACAAATAAATCCATCCTCCTTAAAAATACCCATTGATGAGTCTGATCTCTTCAACCTCATTTATATTAGATGCAAAAAGAAGCAGTTTTGAAGAATAAAAGTGGGTTAAACGTAAAGGATGTGTAGCCCTTTAAGAGCCTGGCTAAGATGTTTGGGAATAGACTTAGCAGGTGATGAGTGTCTGTTCTGTTTGATGGACACTCTCTGCCCTTTCCCCAGGACTGTCTTGGCCTGAAGGGCTCAGGGAAACCAGGTGACCATTCTCCCCTTGCCATGAACTTGGCCACAGAGCAGGCATACTCATAGGCAAAGAGAATACTCGCTGTTCAGTGTCTCCAACAGGGCCTATTGGTGAAATTACCCAAATGTAAAAAATTAAAAAATGGAAAAAGAAAAAGAAACCTAAAAGATGTTCGAGAAAGAATCGCAAACATCTACTCCCAAGTTTGTCCTAACCAGACACGAATTCCTGTGGGTTTTAATGTTCTTAAATCTAGATATTTTAATTAGCTCAAATAAAATTTCATGCCAATTACTGTTTCAGTAAATCAATTTATTAAAACTGTTCATGAATCCATAAAATTATATTGAATTTTTAGTTTATGTTCTAGTGTGTGTTTCCCTACAAGACACTGTACAGTTATGGAGTATGTCTATTTCTGACCCTGCATATTTCCAGTGCCAATCACCCTGACACCACAGGGCGCCAGGGACCCCACTCCCTCAGTGAGAAGCAGGATCATCTTTGGTGATTTCTGCTTCTCCCCTCCCCCTCTGCCTTACAGGAGCACTTACAGAAACACTTGAAAATGTTCCCCACTCATAGAACACCCCTCAGCTACTTGTACCCCAAAGTTTAGGTCTAGGATATCAAAGCTCAATTTAATTTGGAGCTGGTTTAGCAGATTATGGCATAATAAACTTTACTTACTGCAAACATTTTTTCTGTGATCAATTCATGGTCACGGAGGAGCTCAAGGAATGGAAATGTCTTTCTTATTGCACATGAAATCTCCACCTTATGTTTTTTGAAGTGAGTGAATATAGGGTCATACATAAGCCTGTCCTCTATGTTTTGCTCTTCTGTGGCCATCCTAGGGGAAAAAAAGATACCACATAGAAATAGTCATCAAAATTCTGACATGTTTGTAGAGGATGTAAGATTTCATGTGTTAAGGATAGGCTTTGAAGAATCAACATATATAAAATAGGTGGTCCTGGGTAGAGGCCAGGGTAAATGGAATTGAAGCAACAAACAAATATGCAATAGAAGAAAGCATGGAGGTTAAGAATGACTACTATATAGGACTGAAAAATTCCTGTCCATCCTGATCAAAGCCATCGTAAAGATATCTTCACCTAAACATAACTGGAACATTTTTGAATTAAAAAAAAAATCTAATTCCTATAAAATTAAGATGGAGTAACCAGGTAATCCAAAGAAAAATGAAAAACAATGGTATAAATATAAAATTCAATCTTAAAAATGCATCTTAATTAACAATCAAGAGAAAATAAATATCTGAAAGATAAAAACAATGTCAGAAAGATAAAAACAAGCTGTTAAGGGAGAAATACCATCCTACATCGTAAACTTAATTGATAAATATTATGTGTTTTAATGATAATGATATGATAAGGCATAAATTGAGAATTTCACAAATATATCAGTGATATCTCCTGGGACAGGTGTTTCTGCTTTGTGTTAATATAAATTTGTTTGTGCTAGTGTTAGACATAGTGAATTTTTTTAGGCGTCTGAATTTCAGAAATTGCTGCTGTTTCTTGTGAAATTAATGTTACACCTTAGTCTGTAATTCTGGCTCTAGTTGATCACTTTGTTGCTATGGTAATATTTTAAGCAACATCTCTATATTCCTAAATGCTATGAAAACTCATCAACTTCCTTCATCAAAGCAGAAGGAAATTATCAGCACTTCCCAGTACCCAAAATACAGCAGGGAATAATAATGTCACACCATTGTTTTTTAATTCCTATAAAAAAAAGTTTCTGCTTAAAGAATGTAGTGTAAGAGCCAGGCGCGGTGGCTCATGCCTGTAATCCTAGCACTCTGGGAAGCCGAGGTGGGCGGATTGCTTGAGGTCAGGAGTTTGAAACCAGCCTGAGCAAGAGCAAGACCCCGTCTCTACTATAAATAGAAAGAATTTAATTGGCCAACTAATATATAGAAAAAATTAGCCAGGCATGGTGGCACATGCCTGTAGTCCCAGCTACTTGGGAGGCTGAGACAGAAGGATTGCTTGAGCCCAGGAGTTTGAGGTTGCTGTGAGTTAGGCTGATGCCACGGCACTCACTCTAGCCTGGGCAACATAGTGAGACTCTGTCTCAAAAAAAAAAAAAAAATGTAGTGTAGGGAGAAGCATATCTTCTCTTTTATTGAAGACCCCAATAAAGTGCTAAGAAAGGAATTAGATTCACAATGACAAAGAGAATGGTAGGGAACAATGAGTATATGAAAAATTTCAACCAGAGGAGAGACTTGCTATTGTAGGTGGAGGATGCTCCCAGAGATCAGAAAACAGTTAGTGTGCCCTGCAGAACTCTGAAGAGGCAGTGGAGATTGAGAGGAAGACATAGGGCTAAAACTTGATGTGTTATTTGAAAAATGAAGCACAGAACAGTGCATCCCTTGCCTGTCAACCTCCATGCAGACTACCTACAGCCAGGCAGCCTCTCAGGGGCAAACATTGCTGGCTTCTCTTTCACCATATGTTAATACTACCTGTTATTCAATTTCGCATCAAGGGATAACACATAATATATGCTGTTGTGCCTGCCACCTTCTGCTCAGCAACCATGTTGTTGCATTGAACAGCAGTTTACTCTTTTTTTATAATTTTTGAGCTGTATTCCATGTTGTGAATCTACCACAATTTGTTTATTCATTTTCTTGTTGATGGACATATAGGTTGATTCCAATTTGGGACTAATGTGAATAAAACTGTATAAGTTTTTTTGTGGCAAGATGTTTTCATTTTTCTTGGGTAAATACCTAGGAGCAGAATTGCTGGGTCCTTGTGTAGCTGTATGTGTACCTATTGTAGAACCTACCAAACTGTTTTGCACACACCTGTAGAGATGGTCTTTCTAATTTCAGCTATTGTAGAGTGTATGATATGATACTGTATTTTAGTTTTAATTTGTATTTATTTAATTACTAATGATATCAAACATATTTTTATGTGCTTACTGGATATATACATGTATATGTTTGTGTATGCATGTCTGTTTAAGTCTTTGGCCCATTTATATTATTAAGTTTTCTTTTCCTTATTGATGAGTAGAAGCTTTTTTGTGTAATATACATGGGAGTTTTTTGTTTGGCTTATGTGTTATAAATATGTTCTACAGGTCTATGGCTTGCCTCTCATTTTCTTAAGCATGTTTTTTAATGAGGAGACATTTTTAATTTTGAGAAAGTCTATCATTTTTTTTATTTTTATGGTTAATTACTTTAGTTACTTACATAGTACACTAATAACTTTAGTTACACTAATAACTTTAGTGTACTATGTAAGAAATGTTTGCCTACCCCAAGGTCATGAAACAATTCCAAAAGCAATTATGAATATAAACATGAGTCTTTTTCTGGGCTTTCCATGCTGCATCATTGACCTGTTTGTCTACCCTAATGGCAACATTATTTTGGCTTGAAAACTAGAGCTTAAAGAAAACCTTGAAGTCAATAGAAAAATTGTCTTGGTTTTTCTAGGTTCTTTGGTTTTACATACATGTTTTCAAATCAATTTGCCAATGTCTACAAGAAAAGCCTTTTGGATTTTGATAGGGTTTGAACTGAACTTGTGGGGCCGTAGCTACGCTCCCAGCAAAAAATTGGGTCCCTTAGGCTGGGGTCATTGCAAAGGACAAGGAAATAATAGAAAATAATAGAATAGAGAAATAGAAGAATACACAGAGACAAAAGTACAGTATTATAAAGCACAGATTTTTATAGGTGAAGGCTCCAGAAACCCCACAGCATTCCCATGATCTGTGAGGCCCAGAGTAAAGTTTCACATGGGTATTTATTGGTACAGTGATTGGTTGCCAGGAGTAACAGATTTACATAATAACAGGTAGTTTGTTTTAGGTTAAAAGTCTCCTAAAAGGCTTGTAGAAATCCCTTAATTAACTCTATCTATATGAGCAAACAGTTACAAAATCTTTCTAAGACAAACCTTTAAGTTCTAAGATAAAGCTATTACTTAGCAGAAAGGCTAAACAGAGATATAGTGGCTCTATATTTCTTTATCTAAATATTGTGGATTGAGACAGGTAGTTAGGAGTGAAGCAGGAACTGTCCCTTAGGCTGACTGCTTTTAGCTGCAGGTGTCTATCTGTGGGGTGGGCACTCTTTGATCAGCTCTCATCTCATGGCTCCATGCAAACCTGCTTTGTCATACAAAACAGGTGAAAGCCACAAGTTTGAGACTGCAGCCTCACCTTCAAAAGCAACTGTCACTGACCTTTGAGGTGCCCTCTTGAGGCAAAGCAGCTTTTGATATGCAAACTAACACATTCACATATTCCTTCAGGGCAAAGCCCTGCAAAACTCTTGAAATCATTTCTGTCTCTATATAGCAATATTAATCTATGGAGCAACATCTTCATGAGGCAACATCTCTATGGGGCAACAGATAAATTTGGAAGAATTGACATCTTAAGAATATTGAGCTTCCAACCTGTTAACATTGTATATATCTTCGTTTATTTAGCTTTATTTAATTTTGCCTAGCACTGTTTATAGTTTTCAGTATGTAAATCATGAATACACTATTCATTAAATGTATACCTAGTTATTTTATTCTCTTGAACTCCTGACCTTGAGCAATCCACCCACCTCAGCCTCCCAGAGTGCTAGGATTACAGGTGTGAGCACCACTCCTGGCCTTATTTTATTCTTTTTTGATGCTACTTTAAATAGTATTGCTTTTTAAATTGATTATTAGTGTTATATAGAAATAGAATTGTTTGAAAAATATTAACCAAATATTTGTGATATTGCTAAATTTGTGTATCAGTCCTAGTAAAGCATTTCTACATTTTCTTGGGATTTTATAGAAAATAATCATGTCATCAGCAAATAAGAACATTTTAGTGATTATTTTCTGACAATTATTTCTTTTTTCTTGTCTTATTGCACTGGTTAAGAGTTTAAATACAATGCTGAAGTGGTGAGAAGGGATTTTCTTGCCTTATTTCCAATTTTAGAGAGAAAGCATTGAGTATCACCATTAAGTATGATGTTTTATGTACCTGTATACACACACATATATTAAATACACATAAATATACATTTTGAAACACATTAAGGTAGTAAATACTATTCTTAATTTGCTTAGAATTTTAGCATGAATAGATGTGGAAGTTTATCAAGTGTATCTACAGAGATATTCATATAAATTTTATTTTTATTCTTTAATTTGGTAAATCACATTGGTTGATTTCCAGAGTCTCTTCTTAAGTTGGAGTAGATACACAAATCAACATACATTTGAGGAAATACTCCAATATTAGAAAGAATAATGTTTAAAAATGGAAAAAAAATTACTATACGAGAAACAGAGATATGGTAGGAATGGGAGAAAAATTCCAAATAGTAATTATTTGAATGTAAAGCTTCAAATTATATGAATAACTTCACAACATTGAATTAACTGGGAAAGGGAAATGTGAGTTAAATGATTTATTTCATGCATGAAACAATGTAGGTGAATTATATGGTTTTAAATTCAACTATGATGATTACAGAAATATAGATTAAAGAATGAGTTTGAAAAGTTGAAAGCAACAACTAATTGAGTAAAATTAGACCCTATAAAGACTTATGAAAGACTGAAAATAAAATTAAAAAGCACATAATACAGTTTGCATTTTTAGAGACAAAAAGAAAAAAATCAATGAGTTATAAAACATAGTTTTTCAAAGGTATGAAAAATTATTTATAACACTAAATGTAAATGAAAAAATGATAATATTGAAAGGCATAGAATCCAACTGAAAGCACAACTAAGACAAAATGATCCCAAATTTGTCAAAATCAAAGATAAGCATGTTATGGGATGCAACTGC